GGGGTTTCACCATGTTGGCCAGGATGATCTTGATCTCCTGACCTCGTGATCCACCCGCCTTAGCCTCCCACAGTGCTGGGATTACAGGCGTGAGCCACTGCGCCTGGCTGTCCCCTGAACTTCTTAATCCTCTATTTCCTCTGGACAAAATTTTGAAATGCTACCCACCAGCCACACAGTTTGGGGAGGAAAATATTAAAAGCCCATTGTCACCAAAAAAGGTTCGAGCAAGGACAAGAAAATACGGAAAAAAAAGAGGAGGGCTGTCCCTGCGGTAGAGAGCATGATAGACGTCAGCCAGGGGGCCACCCACACCCGGTATCCCAGGTTGTCTCCATCTCCAGGGTTAGAGCAATCCTGTCCTGGCCAGAGGAGGGTTTGGGGTATGTCCCAAGATAGGCTTGTCACACAATAATAGTGGAAGACTTTAACACCCCACTGAATATATTAGACAGATCACCAAGGCAAAAAATTAACAAAGATAATTAGGACCTGAACTCAGCACTGAATCAAATGGACCTGATAGATACCTGCAGAACTGTCTACCCCAAAACAATAGAATATACATTCTTCTCATGACCACATGGCACATACTCTAAAATTGATCACATGATTGAAAGTAAAATACTCCTCAGCAAATGCAAAAGGACTGAAATCATAACAGTCTCTCAGACTACAACACAATCAAATTAGAAATCAAAACTAGGAAATTCTCTCAAAAACATACAATTACATGGAAATTGAATAACCTGCTCCTGAATGACTTTGGGGTAAATAATGAAATAAAGGCAGAAATCAAGAAGTTGTTTGAAACTAATGAGAACAAAGATACAATGTATCAGAATCTCTGGGACACAGCTAAGGCAGTGTTAAGAGGGAAATTTGTAGTACTAAATGCTCACATCAAAAAGTTAGAAAGGCTGGGCACAGTGACTTATGCCTGTAATCCCATCATTTTGGGAGGCTGAGGCGGGTGGATCACCTGAGGTCAGGAGTTTGAGACCAGCCTGGCCAACATGGAACCTCAACTCTACTAAAAATACAAAAATTAGCTGGGCATTGTGACGGGGCCTGTAATTCCAGCTACTAGGGAGGCAGAGGCAAGAGAATCGTTCAAACCCAGGAGACAAAGGTTGCAGTGAGCCGAGATAGGGCCCATTGAACTCCAGCCTGGGCAACAAGGGCAAAACTCCATCTCTAAAAAAAAAAAAAGGTTAGAAAAATCTCAAGTTAACAACATCACAACTAAAAGAACTAGAGAACCAAGAGCAAACAAAACTCAAAACTAGCAGAAGACAAGAAATAACCAAAATCAGAGCTGAAATGAAGGAGACAGAGACATGAAAAACCACTCAAAAGATCAATGAATCCAAGAGCTGTTTTTTGGAAAAAAAATAATAAAATAGACTGCAAGCTAGACTAATCAAGAAGAAAAGAGAGAAGAGTCAAATAAACACAATCAGAAATGACAAGGGAGATATTACCACTGACTCCGTAGAAATACAAACAGCCATCAGAGAATATTATGAACACCTCTATGCATATAAGACAGAAAATCTAGAAGAAACTGATAAATTCCTGGACATATACACCCTCCCAAGACTGAACCAGGAAGAAATTGAATCCCTGAACATACCGATAATGAGCTCTGAAATTGAGGCAGTAATAAATAGCCTACCAAACAAAAAAAAAAAAAAAAGAAAGAAAGAAAAAAAGAAGAAGGCCCAGCACCAGACAGATTCACAGCCAAATTCTATCAGATGTATGAAGAAGAGCTGGTACCATTCCTACTGAAACTGTTCCCAAAAATTGAGGAACTCATACTATGAGGCCAGCATCACCCTGCTACCGTAACCTGGCAGAGACACAACAAAAAAAGAAAACTTGTGGCCAATATCCTTGATGACCATCAATGCAAAAATCCTCAATAGAATACTGACAACCCGAATCCAGTAGCACCACCATCAAGTAGGCTTTACCCTGGGATCCAAAGTTGGTTCAATATCTGCAAAACAATCAATGTGATTCATCACATAAACAGAACTAAAGACAAAATCCACATGATTATCTCAATAGATGCAGAAAAGGCTTTTTTCTTAATTTCAGGATCTGCTGAAATTAGATGCAGAAAAGGCTTTTGATAAAATTCAACGCTTCATGTTAAAAACTCTCAATAAACTAAGTATTTTAGGAATATACCTCAAAATAATAAGAGCCATGTATGACACACCCATAGCCAACATCATACTGAACAGGCAAAAGCTGGAAATGTTGAAAGTCGACACAAGACAAGGATGCCTTTTCTCACTACTCGTCAGCATAGTTTTGGAAATCCTGACCAGGGCAATCAGGCAAGAAAAATACATAAAGGGCATCCAAACAAGAAGAGAAGAAGTCAGACTATCCCCGTTTGCAGATGACATGATCCTATATCTAGAAAACCCCTTAGTTTCAGCCCCATAGCTATTCAGGCCAATAAACAACTTTAGCAAAGTCTCAGGATACAAAATTAATGTTCAAAAATCACTAACATTCCTATATACCAACAACAGCCAAGCTGAGAGCCAATTCAGGAACACAATCCCATTCATGATTGCCACCAAAGACATAAATAAAAATAAAATCCCATTCACAATTTCCACACACACAAAAAAAATAAAAACGTACCAGTCGGCCGGGAGCGGTGGCTCAAGCCTGTAATCCCAGCACTTTGGGAGGCTGAGGCGGGTGGATCATGAGGTCAGGAGATCGAGACCATCCTGGTCAACATGGTGAAACCCCGTCTCTACTAAAAATACAAAAAAAAACGTTAGCTGGGCATGGTGGCGCGTGCCTGTAATCCCAGCTACTGAGGAGGTTGAGGCAGGAGAATTGCCTGAACCAAGGAGGCGGAGGTTGCAGTGAGCCAAGATCGTGCCATTGCACTCCAGCCTGGGTAACAAGGGTGAAACTCTGTCTCAAAAAACAAACAAACAAACAAACAAAAAAATGTACCGGTCATTAATGACTTATTCATTCATGAATGGCAATCCCATTCATGATTGCCACCAAAAACATAAAATAAAAATAAAATCCCATTCACAATTTCCACCAAAAAATAAAAATAAATAAACATGCTGGCCATTAATGACTTATTCCCAAACAATGGCTTCCATTTTAATAGCTTAGATACTTATAACCAGAGAGGTGAAAGATCTCTGTAAGATGAACTACAAACGCTGCTCAAAGAAATCAGAGATGACACAAGCAAATTGAAAACATTCTATGTTCATGGATGGATCAGTATCATTATCATTGTCAACATCATTAAAATGATCATATGGCCCAAAGCAATTTCTAGATTCAATGCTATTCCTGTTAAACTGCCACTGACATTCTTCACAGAACTAGAAAAAACTATTTTAAAATTCACATGGAGCCAAAAAAGGGCCAGAATAGTGAAGGCAATCTTAAGCAAAAAGAACAAAGCTGGAGGCATTAGACTACCCAACTTCGAACTACGCTACAGGGCTACAGTAACCGAAACATCATGGTACTGGTACAAAAACAGACAGACCAGTAAAGCAGAATAGAGAACCCAGAAATAAGCCCACACACCTACAACTATCTGATCTTCAACAAATCTGAGAAAAATGAGCAATGGGGACAGGATACCCTATTCAATAAATGGTGCTGGGATAACTGCCTAGCTATATGCAGAAAACTGAAACTGGACCCCTTCTTATACCATGTACAAAAATTAAGTCGAGATGGATTAAAGACTTAAATGTAAAACCCAAAAGTATAAAACTCTGGAAGACAACCTAGGCAATACCATTCGGGACATAGGAATGGTCAAAGATTTCATGAGGAAGACACCAAAAGCAATTACAACAAAAGCAAAAATTGACAAATGGGATCTAATAGAAGAGCTTCTGCACAGCAAAGGAAACTATCATCGGAGTGAACAGACAACTTCCAGAATGGGAAAAATTTTTTGCAAACTATGCATCTGACAAAGGTCTTACATCCAGCATCTGTAAGGAACTTGAATTTACAAGAAAAAACCCCATTAAACAGTGGGCAAAGGACATAAACAGACACTTTTCAAAAAAAAGATATATATGTGGCCATCAATCATACGAAAAAAATGTTCAACATCACTATCAGAGAAACGCAAATTAAAACCACAATAAGATACAATGTCACATCAGTCAGAATGGCTATTATTAAAAAGTCAAAAAATAGGAGATGCTGCAGAGGTTGTGAAGAAAAAGGAACACTTATACCCGGTTGGTGGGAGTGTAAATTAGTTCATCCATTGTGGAAGACAGTGTGGTAATGTCTCAAAGACCTAACACAGAACTGCCATTCAACCCAGCAATCCCATTGCTGGGAATATAACCCCCAGAGTAAAAATCGTTCTATTATAAAGACACATGCATCCATATGTTCACTGCAGCACTATTCACAATAGCAAAGACATGGAATCAACCTAAATGCCCATCAATGGTAGACTGGATAAAGAAAATGTGGTACACTTACACCGTGGGATACTATGTGGCCACACACAAAAAAATGAGATCATGTCCCTTGCAGGAACATGGATGCAGCTGGAGGCCATTATTTTCAGCAAAGCAACACGGGAACAGAAAACCAAGCAGTTCAGGCCCGCCTAAGTGCGAGCTGAACAGTGAAAACACATGGACACAGGGAAGGTAACAACACACACAGGAGCCTATTGGGGAGTGAAGGGTGAGAGGAGCGAGAGGATAAGACAAAGCAACTAATAGCTGAGCCGCCCACTGCCGGGAGGGAGCTCCAAGGCTGCTTCTGCGCACCGCCCAGTGTCTGGCGGAGTCCAGAGAGCCGTGGGGCCTCGTCCCAGGAGCCACTGCTGCACCTCGAGGCCTGTCAGGGCTTGGGGACTGCCGGAGGAGGCGGCAGCAGCGGGACCCCCACAGGGCGCCTGAGACTGGGGAACTGCCTCTGGCTTCACGATGCCAGTGTGGACAGAATAGCTTCTGAGGCTTATCCCCACCCACCACTCCCGAGAAGCTGAGCGGAAACCAGAGCACCTCCAGCCGGAGAGGCGTGTCCCGCCTCCCCACCCCGGTCCTGCGGGAACCACGTGGTTTATCCGTGACGGCTGCGGCATCGCCTGTGCCAGCCTTACCTGTGCGGAGTGTGTGGTCCTCTTTGTCATGCTGATTCCATCTCGACACCGCGTGTACAGCATCATCCACGGAACTGTGTGCAACCTGCCGGCCTCCTTGGCCCCGGCCTCCCACTGCTGGGCCATGAGGGACCCGGGGGCGGTGCCCAAAGGAAATGCCGCTAAAGAATTCATGGGCGCTTCCCGCTGAAGCCGCGGCAGGTGGTGTACACGTGTGCCAAATGCCGCAGCATTCGGCCTCACCGGGCCCACCACTGCAGCGTCTGTAAGCGGTGCACTCCCAAGACGGAACACCACTGTCCCTGGGTCAACAGCGGCGTCTGCGAGAACAACCAGAACCCTCGTCCTCTTGGCAACCTCCAGGTAGCGCTCATTTCCCTGCACATGCGCATCATGGTGGGATTCTACTTCCTGCATTGCTGTGAAGAAGGCTGTACGGAGCGCAGCCCCTTCTCTGCGCCCACCACGGCGATTCTCCTCACCCCGCCACGCGGTGCGGGCCTGCTCTTCCTCAGTCACACATCAGTGACGTTTGCGACCCAGGTGGACTCCATCTGCCCAGATGAGACGGGAATACAACTGAAAAAGGAAGAGAGAAGATGGATTAAAAAAAAAAAAAAAGAGGATGAACATTTTTTTTCATCCATTTTTTTCATCCAGAACAGCCAGGCCAACATGGTGAAACTTGTCTTTACTAAAGATACCGTCTTTACCAAAAATACACAAATTAGCCGGGTGTGGTGGGAGGCAGCCAACGCTTCTCTCTAGGCTGGGCCAGCCCCTTTGCCGCCACACAAGGGAAGGCAGACCCGCACCATAGGTGGTCTGAAGGACCCGGACCAGCATGGCCACTCAGACGCAAGCCACACCACAGCACTACCGTCCCATCCATTCTCATGAATGTTTAAATCGAAAAAACAAAACAACTACTCAAAAACGTTTTTATGTCTGACGTAAAATGGCTGAGCATTGCAGAACGAAAAAAAAAAGTCCCCACATTTTTTCTTTGTAAATCATCCTTTTGATTATTTTGGTGACCAAAGCTGCCATCTTTTCCTTTTAAAATCACTGCTTTGCTGGGCGCGGTGGCTCACGCCTGTAATCCCAGCACTTTGGGAGGCCGAGGCGGGCGGATCACGAGGTCAAGAGATTGAGAGGCTCTTGGCCAACATGGTGAAACCCTGTCTCTACTAAAAATACAAAAATTAGCGGGGCGTGGTGGCGCGCGCCTGTAGTCCCAGCTACTCGGGAGGCTGAGGCAGGAGAATTGCTTGAATCGGGGACGCAGAGGTTGCAGTGAGCCGAGATCTCGCAACCCACTCCAGCCCGGCTCCTAGAGCAAGACGTTGTCTCAAAAAAATAAAATAAAATAAAAAATCACTGCTAGGCCAGGCGCGCTGGCTCACGCCTGTAATCCCAGTACTTTGGGAGGCCGAGGCGGGTGGCTCATAAAGTCAGGAGTTCAAGATCACCCTGGCCATGATGTGAAATCCCATCTCTACTAAAAATACAAAAATTAGCCGGACGTGGTGGCGGACACCTGTAATCCCAGCTACTCAGGAGGCTGAGGCAGGAGAATCACTTGAATGGGGAGGTGGAGGTTACAATGTTGTAACCGAGCAAGTGCAAAATCACTACTGAGACAAAGACTAGGCCAAATTACAGGGTCTTTATTGCCGGCAGCCACGTAGGAGTGGCGTCTCTCCAACACGAGACACCTAAAGGAGGGTGTCAGGACCTTTTATGCCCGTAAACCACCTCCGGGGGCGGGGTGGATGGGGACGAGGGGTTTTGGACATTCCGATTGTTACTTAAGTGGTTCACAGAAGTCAAGATATGCGTTACTTTGCACATTGTCTGGGGAGGGTGGAAACCAGAGACCTTAGTTACTACAAGTCTTAAAATGGCACAGGGGCCAAGATGGCGTTGGTTTGAACTGCTTCCCTGTCACGTTAGGGCTACAGAGAGCAGTTTCAATGGAAAGCGGAGGTATGGTCGAGGTATGCAGTTTACGGGGCAATTACCATGTCACAGCAGTGAGCCAAGATCGTGCCACTGCACTCCAGCCTGGGGGACAGAGCAAGACTCTGTCTCAAAAAAACAAAAAAATCACTTCTCTGGCCTCTGGTTTCTCTCTCACCTCAGGTGAAGTAAATTAACAAGTATTTAAACACCTGTGTGAGTTTGGTATCACACAGAAACTCCTCCCTGGGAGGCTAGGCGGGGCTTTCCCAGCCAGACTAATGGCTTTTTAATTTCTCTGTTTTCAAGACTTGTAGTGCATCAGCTTAAAGGGAGAGCCAGCCAGTAGAGGGAAGGGGTCCCACCTAGAAGGGGCCTGTAAACATCAAAGAAACATGAAGAGAGATTTTTCTAGAAACTTCCTCAAGGATGCTCTTCTTGACGTCCCCAGACCAGCAGCATCAACATCAGCACCACCTGAGAAGTTGTTAGTAATGCACATTCTCAGCCGGGTGCAGTAGCTCACGCCTGTAATTCCAGCGCTTTGGGAGGCTGAGGCAGGAGGATCACTTGAGGTCAGGAGTTCAAAACCAGCCTGGCCAACATAGTGAGCCAGGCATGGTGGCAGGAGCCTATAATTCCAGCTACTCTATAAGTTAAGGCAAAAAGAAGTGCTTGAACTAGGGAGGCAGAGGTTGCAGTGAGTCAAGTTGTGCCACTGCACTCCAGTCTGAGCAACAGAGCAAGACTGTCTCAAAAAAAAAAAAAAAAAAAAAAAAA